GATATCCTAGATTCAATAGAACTCCTAATACCTGAAGCCCATTAACGTGTATGTTAATAGAGGCCGAGATGTGTGGCTGTTAGTGAACGCGTGTTAAGGCAGGTATACATTTACCTCTGCACTCATTTTTTGGGGCATTGCTGAGAACAGAACCTATATGTTGACTCCAATCCAACTTTTGCCAAATGGGAGAGAACAATTGGTAGGGGTTACTTCCTCAGGAATGAGACCTCTTTTGTTAAGGACATTCCCTTGCACGTCTTCCAAACAATTTTCAACCTCGTATACTTGGGAACGGGAGAGTTGAAGGGATGGTATTACATTATCCCCTATGGAGCCCATGCTCTTTTTGTAAGGTCTGTCTTCCTCTATCAAAGAGTGGGAGGAATCCTGATTTTGGGTCAAGGATAGATGTCACATCCTTAAGAGTGATAAAGTCACAAATGCCATTGTGCCAACCCAGTATTTCGAAGCTCATGAGTTATTTTTTTCAAACTTATTCATTTATTATAATAATTGTAATTGATGCTGATTTTTTTATAGTTTCAAGAAATTGATTCGAGTTGTCCTAGGCTGAAGGGACGTCATTAAGGATATATACAAACATCTTCAGAGATCACGCCACTTCGACCGCCTCATAGAATGCAATAATTTTTTCTTAGCTTACACGGGTAAATGTCAAACTTCTTAGCTTCTACCTTGTCTTTTACTAACTCAACTAACATAGGCCCTGTTTAATAGCCTTTAAAATCCAAAAATAAAGTTTTGAATTGTAATTTTTTGAAAAATGTGTGGTTAAAAAGTAAGAAAAAATTTTAGATTTACATACAAAATATTTTATTGTGTAATTGTGTTGTTAAAAATGAGTAAATAAAAAAAAAGTTTGTAATTATGGTTGTCAAACAGGAGCATAGTTTTGTTGTCTTTGCATAAAATTTTGACCGAAAGCAGTACTCACCCCTGACATGATTTCTATTTTGAGGGCCGTCTCTACTGTCAATTCTAGAGCTTTGAAGCCCTCCTCCAATGCTGCCAAGCATGTCAGGGAAAAACTAGAGTATCTCAATAAGGAGCATGCTAAGAAGAGTGACGAGGAGGCACCCCAAGAGAAGATAAAGGACAAAAGGAAGGGGAAAATGAAGGTGGAGCCTCAAAAAAAATGAGGACTTCCCACACCAAAAGCTCTATTGCAGGGAAGTTCAACACATCTAGTTTCTCAATAGCTCAACTGCCTCTATCCCCACCACCTGCCAAGCAGATACAATCATCCTTTTAGCTACAAAAGCTCAAAAAGCTATGTGAGGAGGTGGTGAAGGACAATATTGCCAACTTACACTTAACGGAGTACCAACGTTTCGGTTCTTACAGGCGGAAGTTCGCCTACATTGAGGTGGTCGAGAGAATGGGGAAACTCTATCCATAACTAAGGGTAGAATTCTTGGAAGAAATATTTTTGTTTAGGTTGAGTAAGTATTAGGATGCTTGGAATATATATTTATTTTTCAATCGTTGATCGGGTCTATATAACTTATTAAAAAAAAAAGTAGAAAACTTTCAAAAATAATGTCTAGTTAACATTGAATTACTTGTCATCTATGATGATATTTATTTGTTGGAATTAAGTACATATTTAGCTAAAGCTTGACAACACTATAACTTGTACTTTTACTTGAAAACTTATCCAAGTTAGACTTGATTATTTGAGTGTATAGCCCTCATTGACTTATTACTTATGTTGGGACATGACTTGATTATGTGGATTTCATTGTTGACGTTGTCAACTTAGGCGTTGAATTACTAAATCTTTAATAAAAAAATCAAATTTCTTTTTAGTAGTTTGAGGGTGGAAAGGTTAGTGCTTGTCTTCATAAAAGTTCGAGGGTTTGGAGTTCTCGAATCACAGTGTTAGTAGAAGGAGTTTGAGTGAAGGAGTCTAGAACGGGCACTGGCCATTTTTAAAATTTAAATATCATATATCATTACTTCTTTCATAGCTTTTATGTCTCGAGTGATTAAGCTTGCTACAATCTTTAAAACCTAGTGCCATATAGTTATTTGACTTGGGTGTCATCAACCTAAAGCTCGCTAAAAAAATGGAAAGAAGTTTTGCACATAAAAAGTCAAAAGAATGAAAAATTATATTCTCATATCAAAAGAAAAGGTGTTCCATCTTCTACCTCTCTTCGTAACTGTTCGTAGAAAACTCGCAAGCATACAAAATCGTTGTACAAATAATAAGATTTGTGAGTTAAGAGTATCGTTCCCACAAAGAATAAGGTCTAATTTGTAGTTTAATAGCTGCTATTAAATTCGAAGTGTAGTGATATCAAGAGAGTTGTGATTTATAAGTTCTCTAGACTAGACTAGTCCTAAACTAACAAAGCAAATAAACTATTTATTTAACATGTGAATGTTTGTATTGAAATCGTTAATCCCCTATTGTCATTTAATTCAACTCTTAATCCATAATTTAGTAAATTCATGCATTTAAGACAATCAATAGTACACTTTTATTCAATATTTTTTCCAAAGACATATTAAACCTATGTTTAACACGACCCGATCTTATTCTTAGTCCAAATTCATATGAAAAATATGAATTGATTAACAGGATTTATCACACATTATTGCAAATGACATAGCTATTATTCTTAGTACCTATTGTCCATGTGTTGATTTATTGCATTCTAGACTTATTGTAAATATTCCTACACTACAACAAGTAACTTACTATCTTTGGTGATCAAACAATTAAATAGTTCAATGAGAATGCAAAATCAATCAAGAAAACGCATGAAGTACTAAATTAATTGTCTTGAATTAAAATAAATAAACAGTGTGGTTCATCATTCATCAAATACAATTAAAACTTAGCCTACTATCCTAATTATTAAATTATGTAAGAAATAATGAAAAGTATAACCCGTATCGAAGAAATATGGAAGAAAGTAGAGAAATCAACTTTCTTGAATAAAATCTTGATTTTGGATGGATAATCTTCAAGATTCTTGCACAATTCTCTTGATGTTGACGATGTAGCCTCATTCTTCGCCTTCAAAATATGTTGAATCTATGAATGATTTGGTCTAAGGGAGGTTTTTGATGATATGGGCGTGTTCTCCTATTTATATGATGCCCAGGAGATTCCTTACTAAAATAAAATAAAGAAACCTAAATTCTTCCGCGTTTAACATTAAGGCACGTGTCCAATGTAATCTTGGGCACGCGCCTGGGAGCCTTGGGTGCCTCAGTCACCTCCTTTTTGGTTGGGGCGCATGCGTCTCTACTGTAGGCAAGGGCACACGCCTTGACTAAGTTCCAATAGTGGAACAGCTTTCAGTATTTCTATCATAACTTTCTCTCTGAATATCCGATTGGAGTGATTCAAAGTAAGTTGGAAATCTCACTCAGAGGAATACAATTCTTCTTAGAATTATTTTTTCCAATTCGAAAGTTTTCTATGCCAAAATTGGGTCTCAGTATTAGACTAAAAATTCGAAGCATAACTTTTTCGATTGAAAGTTGATGTATGATTATATTTTGATAATAATTCATTCCTTTGACTTCTTTCCTCATCTGATTGACCCCGCGCACTCTCAAATCTTCATCGTGAGTTCCGAAATAACTTTTTAGTATTTGTATTTTAGTTCCCAAACTTTGGATTTGCTTCATTTTACCCCTTTTCCGTTCTTTCTTCCAAATATGAATTTTTCATAATAAAAGCAAAAAATAACAAATTAGGTACTAATCCATCTAAAAAATAACAAAATACCATCATTTAGGATCTCAAATAAATGTAGAAACTACACTTATCACTATCAGTAACTTTTGTACTCGAGTAATTAAACCTGTAAAGGTATCTAAAAACATGGTGCTCTAATCTGACTTGAAAGTCATCGACCTAGAACTCACTATATGGGCCATTTTGAAAGTTTAATGGAGAAAAGTATTAAATAGGAGTTGTCAAAAAATAAAAATAAAAAATAGAGAGATCTAAATTGTCAAAAGTGGAATGTGCTCATTAAAGACTTAGAGATTTGAACTCTAGAAATTGGCAATGTGAGTCTGAAAAAGACATATCATCTGCCTTCTATATTTACAAGTATTTAATTATGATCACTTTATATGAAAAAAATGCATTATAATAATTTTTAATAAAATCATATGTGCTAGAAATACCTCAAGATTGGGGGAAAATGCATGAGTGATTTTGCACAAGAGGTGTGACGAAAAACTGACTACAAGAAGATTGGGATTGTGAATAAATCAACAATATTCAATTGGGTGTGTTCTAATATAGGTGTAAGTTCAATGTTGTTTAATCTCACACAAACTAAGTCAAGAATCAGATAAGTAAAAAAAAAAATTACTAATAATAATAATAATAATAATAATAATAATTTACTACTTTTTGGATTTTTCTAAAGTGTTACTTAAATTTGAAGTTGAAATATATGGAAAACAGTTCAACGTTGAGTCTATTTTTCGTAATTTACTTTGTCTAACCTAAAGAGGTCATTTAGAAAGTTTTATACACATGAAATGTCAAATGAATGAAAAATTAGATTCTCATATCAAAAGAAAAAATGATTCATCTTCGACGTCTGTTCTTAGCCCTTTTTACTCGAGTTATTAAGCCTGTAATGGTATCTAAAAATCTATCTTATAGTCATCTGACTTGAAAGTTACAACCTAAAGATCGCGGTCAAATCCTTTTGCCAATTCCATATCCTTTTTAAAATACTTTTACTAGCACCATAGCACGATATAATTACGGCATTCATTAAACCAATCGATGATCATGCCAGCTTCCTCGACATCTGTCAAGTTGAATTGCATGAGCTAAGTTATAGATTAACACAATTTTGCTACACATTACCACAACACCATTCTGATAACTTATCTACAATTTCAAACCCTTTTTGCACCAGATCAAAACAATTCCTAATTCATCAGATGACTGATGACACCATTTTTTTCAAAACAAATCCACAGGCCATCTAAGCAGTGATTCCTTCAGGCTTTTGGATGTCACATTCGACTTGAATTTCACCATCTGCATAACGATGACGATCTGTGAGATTCTCCATGCAAATTTAACAGAGAGAGATGAAATCTCAGAAAATCAAAAAGGCCAACAGGGATTACTCTTTAAATGTATCCCTAGATTTGCTTGGGCATCAGCTTCAGTATTTAAGTCCTGATATAAGGGAAAAGCTTTTCGGATGAAAAAGAAGTCGACAGTTTACAAAGAAATCGCGAATAAAATTACACATGAATAGCAACGTAAAATATAAACACTTTCTATGTAAATAATTATTGAACAAACAAGCATGCTTAATTCAGAGAGAGGCAGAGAGAGATTCTATTTTAGAATCAAGCAAAGAAAAGCCAACCTGAAGTGTTGCAAGAACAGCGAGTTAAATGCATGTACACAAATCCAAAAATATTCTGGCATAAATATGCTGTACGAAATAAGCACTAAAAATATAAGAATTCTAACCTTCTTGGCAATCTCTTCATATAACAATGAAGTGCAAGAATTAAGTAATAAATTGAACGTTTTTGACATACTCTTTCAACATGGCAGATCTGGAATGTTACAAACTGATCCTTGAGTTCTTTAGCCACCTTGCACAATTCAGCCATGTTTTGAACTTTTGTTCTCCATAGACCCTGAACCTGTGCAATAGATAATTTTGGTAGTATGATAAAGTGATCATAGCGGGCAGGCAGTAATAATTACAAGCACAGCATTGCACCAAGGAAGAAAGCCCCATGGAAGATACAACCTAATAATGGACAAACATTGCCTATATTCACATAATTTTCAGAGTATGAACCCAGGGGTGATGAAATCTTACTCGTGCAAGCTTCTAAAGCCTAAAACACTCTGAACAGTAAATCTACCAAATTTTTCTATTTATTTCTTTTTTTTTTTATTTAGGGGAATCTGCACCACAGTCCACAAAATAGTCCACTTTTTGCATTTAGGATCCACATACAATTTATGTTGGCATTGAGATCCCCAATCTTTCATTTTCTGGTGCAAGTAGATCCAAATGGATGGAAAACATTTGTCTACTAAGTCATATTTTTCACAAAAAAAACTAATAAAAGGAAGAAGATAAGATAAGCAAGTGTTGAAAATAATATTTAAATGATATACATTTGCCATATCTAACAGCTTAATCTTTTAGACTAGTGGTTCAATATGTTATCATAGATTCAAGTCTCTAACACTCATGTAAATTGTACACGTGTTAGGCTTTGATGGGGAAAACTAAATCCTACCTACATGTGAGGGGACCTCTTGAATATATGGGCCCGTTTGATTGCAAAGATGGAATCTGAATGGAAAGAAAACAAATTTCAAGGAATTGAATTGCCTAAAAATTGTTTTATTGAAAATTGTCAATTATTGTGTTTAATTGGTATAATTTTTCAAATGAAAATGTTGAAATAAAAGTGTTTTTTGGTGTTCATTCGACTTTATTTTACATAAAAATTGTCAATTAAAGGGATAGAATTTACTGGTATTAGAGATAGAATTTTTTTCCATTGCCCAAAAAAATAAAAATCTATCTTTTAGTGTTCATTTGACTTTATTTTACATGAAAATTGTCAATTAAAGGAAAATATTTTTGTATAATTAGGAATAGAATTTGTTTCCATTGCCAAAATAAATAAATAAATAAAAATTGGCCATCAGCATTTTCATTAATTTGGTGGAAAATGGCTGAGGTGGCATAAAAGTGGGAAAATGAATTGCATAGAAAAAACCTATCAAACATGCAATTTTAGTTTAGGATGGAAATCAATTTTCATTTTCCATGGAAAACGGGCTTATCAAACAGTCCCTAATATTTAAATGATATACATGTGATCTTATCAAAAAACTTAAACTTTTAGATAAAGTGGTTTTACAAGAAGAAAAAGGAAAATAACCAAAAAGGACAAAAAAAAAAAAGCAATAAAATCTACCTCCAAATTCTACCGCCCCACGACTGCCAACATTGCTATTGCCACTACCAACCCCTAAACTCCTACAAACACTACCCTTTCATGTACATCTATAACATACGAAAACAACTTAGGTAGCCGTTAGAATTGAATTTAGCAGCTAGAAATAAGTTTTTTTTTTTT